TTTTGCCTATTAGACACATTTTAAGGCCAATTTGGTTGTAAAATGTGTCTAATAGGCAAAAAATACTTTAAACCGGGAGATACGGTTATATGGGGGCTATATCAAAACTTGGACCCAGGGTCCCCATGTTGGATTTCTATATTTGCTTTGACATTAGAAACATGTGTGCAAAATTTTGGCCGTCTATGTCAAGTGGTTCGGCAGTTAATGAGTTTATACCCAATTTTTGGGTAAATACTCAAAATAGGGGTACCTTTGTATGGGGGCTACCAGTAAACGTGGACCTACATACATAAAATTTTGCATGGACATTTGGTACCCAAAAAGAACACTCTGTGCCAAATTACAGTCAATTTGGCCTTAAAATGTGTCTAATAAACAAAAAGTACCTTAAATCGGGAGATATGGTTATATGGGGGCTATATCAAAACTTGGACCAAGTATTTACCCACGTCTTTAAAGTATCGTAAAACTATCCATTCTAAATCGATTTGATGACAGAAACCCGGAAATAGGGTGCAAGATGTTGTATTACCGATTCAATATAGTAAATACCCAAATAAATACCCACAAATGGGTATTTACCCAATTTACCGGGTATTTACCCAATTTACCGGGTATTTACCCACTGCCCATCTCTAATAATAAGTAATCCCCTTCCAGTCCCACCAAATGCATAGCAGACCCTTCCTAGCCGTTAGTCCTGGTTTGGCCACGGTTTAAAGTGCTTCATCGCTCCTTGACCACGATCGTTTTCCCCATAGTGTTATCGTATGAGATTCATTTCTCATCTCGAGTCACCATCCGTTTAAGAAATGGGTCAATCTCATTCCGTTTGGCCAAGGCTTCGCAGATGGAAATTCGATCCATCCTATTTTTTATCATTTCTCCGATTTTATCGACATTTTCGACGAAAAAATAATGGATTTCTTTTTTCCCTAGCCTAATATATGGGAGCTGTATCTAAAAATGAACCGATTTTCACTAAATTCTAAGGTTCGCCCTTGGACCAAACAAATGACATGTACCAAATTTCATCCAAAACGGATTATAAATGCGACCTTTACTTTGTTTACAATATAACACCAACAGATGGACAAACGGACGGACGGACATACATAAATCGACTCAGAAAATAATTCTATGCATATACTCAAAAGGAAGTATGGGTCTATCTCGTTTCCTTTTGCATTTTACAAATATATGCACAAATACATAATACCCTGTGCCACAGTGTGGTGAAGGGTATGTTCAGCTGATTATAATGGACATACACATACTTCAACATGAAAATTGCGATGGATTTTTTTAAGATTTAAATTTTCTATGGATATATTTTTGTAATAATTTTATTCATGGAAAATAAATTTAAATAAAACCACATATCGCTTATTTGCAGCAAACCTGCATAAATCAACAATTGTGATTTTCGAATTAATGGTGCAGAATTGTTTGCTATATCAGATTTAGACACTCTGATTGAAAAGTTGAAGAAATTCCTTTGTTCCTTGTATGGTCCAGCGATCTGAAACAGCCCCTATTTTCGGTTGTATTAAGTCTTTGGCCGAATTTTCTCATCATCACAAATCCGTTATGCCAAATTATAGTCACAATTGGGCATAACGGATTTGTAATAAAAGCACCTATATACAATAGCTTAACGTTTTAAAATATACACTATACTTATTTCCAGTTTCGTATACTGAAATTCTTATCCCAATTTTCCAACCTGAGGGTCTGTAATTTGCAACATTACTTTACCAGAAGAGGATGAACAACCTACTACCAAAGGTTCTGGATATTCCGTTCAAGTTTTAAAAAATAGCCCATGCGGAGGGAGGTATTATGCATTTTATGTTGGCTATAATTTGTCGAAATTTTGACCATTTTGAAGGAGTGCACTGATCTTCCCCATTTTCAAACTTGCTCTAGTTATAAAGAAATGTAACGGCAAAGTTTGAATGGAAATCGGGTTTTCCCTTCAAAAAAGTTTGTACATCATACGCTCATTTGTAAATCGACTCCAAATTGTCTTAAGCAGATTTGGTCCAAAGAAACTTGGGGGTCTAAAAAAATATTTCTATGAGGCAACTTTTTGACATAGCAAAGTGTAAGCCTGGGGGGATAAAAACGCGAATTTGTCCATTATTCCATAGCGAACGAACATAACACAAATTCAAAGTTCTGGATTAAAACGATATTCTAGTTTAACGATATGTTTCAACTTTATAAAATGTACAAAAATTCGTTAAGCTCCTCTGGGACCAAATTTTTATTAAAATTTTTTTAGTGGGAAGATTTGACGCCGAATGTATTTTTTAATATTTCATCCAATATTATTTTAAATCAAATGTTTATTGTATAAAAAGCAGGGTTCGAAGAATGATTAAAATACGCCCTTTCTCACGAATGCTCACGTGTGAGAATTCGAATGTTTCAATTTATTCAATTTATCACGAATGATAAAGTTACAATGAATGAACAAGCATTTGCAATCTCTCGCGAATGTTCGCATTGCACGAAAAATTCACGAGCGATAAAACTTCACTGAAAGCGTCGTCGATTCATTCATTCGCGAGCATTCCTTGCTGAAGAACATTCTTTTAAAAAACTAAAAAAACAAATGTTCGCGAATGCTCGCGAGCACTGTTAAAAACAACAACAAACAATAATATCATAAAACCTGTGAGCGGAGCAGTATAGTCGGACGGGACCGACCATACGATACCCTACACAACTCCCACGGAACTCTTACTTTCTGCGGATGTTTTTTCCGAGCCTGGGCAATATTTCGTGATATTTGCACCCTTCAACAGCTCATATTCCTTACACCGACATATTTTCCGAATATTACTTATATAGTATAGCGCTTCTAAATACTTTTCCAGATTCCGTTTGCCGTGGGCTGTATTGTGATGTTCGGCTTATAATTATGGCCTATAGATCAAAAACACAAAAATTTAAGGTTTTGGTCCATTTCATCCCAAAATTACTATCTGATCATCACCAAAAATGATAGGCGACCATAACTGGAACCTCATGGAAAATTTCAAAGTGATCAGGGCTATATTTCCGATCTCTAGTGTGGTAATGGCCTACTAAATAATATCTGAATACGTAAACACCTGTAAATATTTAAGTGTAACTCCCACATCCGAGTACATACGACAATATAATTGGTATCAATTTAAAGGTCAACCACTGCTCTTGTGTATACTATCAACTTCCCGGGCCTGTGTATTTCAGGACTAAATATATACGCTATAGAATACAAATTTTGCCATTTTCACACAAAAGTGAGGGCCCTTTTCACCCGCTAAATATTGGCAGATCTTTATCAAAACAGGCATGCTTATTCTCTGGCCCGATCCCCTTCTCGATGTAAAATTTTGCGATGTTTGGGCCATAGTTGCGGCCTCTGGAGCGATCAGAAAAACCGACAAAAATAACGTTTTTGGTCCATTTCATCCCCTAAATATTAACCGACCTTTTCCAAAAACATTTGGGGTCTTCATTGGCCAGAACACATCCGACATGCAAAATTTCGTGAAGATTGGTCCATAACTGTGGCCTGTATCGTTTTAACAAATTATAATGAACAGACGGACGGACACACATGTCTAGATCGACTCAGCTAGTCGAGATATGACTATCGGTATACTTAAAGGTGGGTCTAGGACCAATATTTCGCGGCGTTACAAACTCTGACAACATAGTTGTGTAGGGTATAAAAAGTAAACACACAAGGAATGAATATGTGTGTAGCAGAAAGTGTGTGTAATAACCAAACACATGTCCAACAACTATTGAGTTCACAAACGTTTGTTGTTGGTGTTCTTGTTGCTGTTTTGAGCATTCGCGAGAATTCGGGAATGTTTGTGTTCATTCGCTAGAGCATGTCAGAAAGAATTTCAACTACCAAACGAAACGAACGATCGTTGTTGTGTGCTCTCACTCGCTTGTTTTGTGTGTGCTAACATTCTTAAATTCATTCATTCCATAAATTCATTCGTAAAATGAGCACAAAACGAAAAGAATGTATTTGAATTCATTCGCGAGCGAATTTTTGCGCACCCTGATAAAAAGTTTAGTTTTGCTTTTGGCCTTCGAATTAATGTCTCTACATTAGTTGTATTGTTTTTTATCAGCTTAAATCCATAGGATCTACCTGATAAACTTCATACAAAACTTAAACCGAACTTGTAATACCGCCCCTTAGTCACCCACTAAAGTAGAAAAGTAAATCGTTTCTTTAAGAATCTGTTTTTAGTTTCTAATGAAAAAACAAAACAGAAATAACAAAAATGAAAGTGTTTATACGTTCAAAGCCAAAAGTAAACATTTATTTCATACATGAATCAGTTCACTGTCGAAGTAAAACACCCCTTATCTGAATCAACTAATTGCTTCTCCGTAAAACATTCATACAATTTATTAAAATAACTCTATGAAATGTAATAAAACAATGGATTTATTCTCACGTCCATATGTATGTACATTGTACATACATTCATATACATACATATGTTCCAAATAATATGACAAACATTTGTATACATTTATGAACAGCATATAAAACGCTATCTGAAATACGCAGTAAGCAACAAACGCCATAACAAAAACAAATTTTAGGTCTCCAAAATTTAGTTGTAATGTGGCATTCAGACACAATAACTGGCTATTCGACGTCTCAGTGTAGTGACGATAAAAATCAATTCTAGACAAAAAATCGAAATTTAAGCGGCAATTAAAATTCAAATCAAGTATTTTTATGTATTTTTCTTTTTTGTTAAAACTTTTTTGCTAAATGTTAATGCAAACATGTTTTTGTTTTTTATTTTCGTTTCATAAAACCTATCCACAACAACAATAATCGTGTGACGTATCCTTGGCACTGACATTGAATTGTGTGAATCATCATCATTTTTATCCATCTGGCTATACTTGTGTGTCTGTGTGTGCGTGTGTTCTCCTGCGTTTGTGGTGTAAACAACAAACAGCTGTTTTATTGCCTTAGCTTTGGCAACACTGTGCTCAGCCGGTACTATTGCAAATCGTCCCACATTTCCGGTCCAAACAAATCAAATTCAGCCCGGCAGCAAATCACCTGGTAATAGAGTCATGCATCCAGCTTTTGCAAATGCCGGTCGTACTCCCGGTTTGGAAATCTGGAGAGTTGAGGTAAGTTTTCTTATAATGCATTGTTCTTTTTTTCAAATATTTGTATTTCTTTATATGACGTGTCATGTCATAAATGACGCATGCCTATAATGCAATGACCACTTGAAGTGGTGGCAGTGGTGGTTTCTATTTAGAAATTGTATTTAAGAATGTCTAATTTAAATGTTGTGGTTATTTGTAGATGATATTAAAATGAATCCATATGTAGAGTGGAACTTCTCTATAATGAATTGGGATCTCTAAATGCGAACTAGTTCAAAGAGACGAACTAGTTTAAAGGAACTATTCTGCAAAAGGAACTATTGGTACTAGTCCGGTTTTTTCGTTCACATAGTTCATTTTGATCCAATCGTTCACCTATAACTTCCCGTTCATTGACCTAAATAATTGAACGACTGAACTAAAAGGAACTATAGAACTAAATGAATGATTAAGTTTTTTTTAGAGCTAGCATAAAAAGATCAGCTTCAGGAATCTTGTTCCTCTCAAAAAAAGTAACTCTAAAAAAAGTAAAAATGTTGTTAAATTAGACCGGTTCGAACGTATTATATCCTCAACCACATGTACAGTCGAATTCGGTTAAGTGAAAACGCCTAATTTCAGAAAAAAATTTTTCTCTTAAGCAGAATTTTCAATTAAAAGAACTTCAGATAAGCGAAACTCGTTGCGCTTAAAAAAGTTTTCAATCAATATCTTAAAGATCGTGAAATTTATAAATCATATTATAAAATGAATTGAGTAAGAACTTGTATTTTCGTAGACATTTGAATGGATGGTTGGAAAAATGTGGAACAAAATTGTATGGTTGCACATAAAAATTTTAATCAATGTCATTGTCCTTACAAAAATTATATTTTTTCTCTTAAACGGTGCTCGTTTCATATATATTTGTATTTTTGCAATAAAAAAGTCTTTCTCTTATACAGATTTTCAATTAACCGGTTTTTCCTTTAAGCGAAGTAAAGTGTATGAAAATTCATCCGAAATATTAGTTTAACATTTTTAGTTTCAATTAACCGATTTTTTCAATAAACTGGCGTTCGCTTATCCGAATGCGACTGTAACCTCAAATGAAATGCTCAGCCGGACATGGTGTTATACTACACTGCAGCGGACAATTTTGGGATAATCATACAAATAATATTACAAAACAATGGATCTATGTCGACTATGTTTTTCAGGCATATTTTTAAACCACTTTTTTCTTAGCAAGCAGCATTGATGACATATTTTCCTGAAATGTCAAACTACCCAAAATTCGTGTTACCATTATATGGGAGATCCATCTAAAGATGGGTCATTATTATACAAGATCCATACATATACAAGATGTAGAGTTGGATCGTTCCGAAACGAACTATTCCGCAAAAGGAACTTTTGGTGTTTGTTCCGATTCTTTCGATCATCTAGTTCCTTTTACTCCAGTCGTTCTTTCTTGCTCATGTTCAACCAGAATATTGGAAATAAAAAGTTGTTTTTATTTTTATTTTCAATATAAAACTGTCCTCAACCTCCACTACTATTATCATTCGAAAAATCGAATCAAATGCTGATCAAGACCAGTGAGTGGAGCAGTATAGTCGAACGGGGCCGACCATATGATACCCTACACAACTTCCATGAAAATCGAACTTTTTGTTTTTCTATATTCTGACCTTGGGAAATATTTCGCGATATTTGCACCCTCTTGCAATTGTTGCCTATAGATAGACTCGAAAAAAAAAACACAAAACATTATGTTTTCGGTCCAGTTCATCCCAAAATTATTATCTGATCATCACCGAAAATTATAGGAGTTATTCTTGACCATACCTGGATCCTCATGAAAAATTTCAAAATATATTTCCGCCCTCTAGTGTGGTAATGACATACTATATAATATCTGAATACGTAAGCACCTGTAAATACTTAAGTGTAACTCCCACACCGTAGTACATACGACAATAATTGGTATCAATTTAAAGGTCGACCACTCCTCTTGTATATATTGTCAACTGCTCGGGTCTAAGTCCTTCAGGGGTAAATATATACGCTATAGAATACAAATTTTGTAATTTTTCACAGAAAAGTCAGGGTCCATTTGACCCGCTAAATATTGACCGATCTTCATCAAAATAGGCATGCTTATTCTTTGTCCCGATCTCCTTATTCATGTTAAAATTCGCGATGTTTGGGCCATAATTGCGGCCTTTGGAGCGACCAGAAAACCAGACAAAAATAAAGTTTTTGGTCCATTTCATCCCCTAAATAGTAACCGATCTTTACCAAAAACAATATGGGTCTTCACTGGGCAGAACAAATCCTACATGCAAAATTTCGTGAAGATTGGTCCATAACTGTGGCCTGTATTGTGTTTACAAACTATAATGGACATACGGACAGACACACATGTCTAGATCGACTCAGCTAGTCAAGATATGACGAGCTATAATACCCTGATAACATAGTTGTGTAGGGTATAAATATATATTTCGATGAGTTAAAAACGGAATCGCAAAAATGCTGTGAATACATCGTCTGAACGTATTCAAAGAAATACATTCGAGCTATATGGCATAACTTCATTGACATTTTTTCTTGTGAGAAGATCAAATGAAAATTTGAAAATGCTATTATAAACATAAAAACTGCGGTGTATTTTAGAGATTTATTTATATGGCGGTTATGTCAAACCATAGACGGGCTTTCCTGACATTTATCAATGTCAGAAACTTACGATGGAAATGCACGGCTGGAGTAGGGTAAATAGGGGCATTCGGCTAAAATGGTGTCGTAGGATATTTAAATTCAGACAATTGCCATAAGTGTTTGTATCGTAGACACGATCCACCAATGGTGTACCATGTGATCGGTCTACAATGCACCACTGGTGGTTCGTAACTACGATACAAACATTATATGCTGGAATGTCAAATTGAAGCCATTCATAGTAGGTTAAATAGAGGCATTCGGCTATAATGGTGTCATATTGTATTAAAGTTCAGACAATTGTCGTTAGATGGCACCTAGAGTTTGTATCGTAGCCAAAAACCGTCGATGGTGTATTGTAAAACATGTGATCGATCTACTATACACCACTGGTGGTGTATACTCTGAATGGAAAATTGAAGCCACTGCTATTGCAAATTCAAACTAGCGCTATTAAAATACTTAAAACGGACGGGGTATTTATATGGCGGCTATGTTTTTCCTTCTAGAAACCCGAATTGAATAGGGGCACTCGTTTGAAATGGTGGCATATTATATTATTTGTTTACAAAATGTTGTCGTCAGCACACATTTCTACCCTCCGAAACAGAAAATGTAAATTACAGTCACTTCAGTTTCAAAATGCCGCATTGCGGCCTTCGCAATACCATAAATGCGACTGTGTCGTTATGTAGGGGCTATACTACACCGTATGGTATCACATTTAACTGACGCATTTATGTATGGTAGCAATTTTACTTTTTATACCCTTCACCACACTGTGGTACAGGGTATTATGTCTTTGTGCATATGTTTGTAACAGGCAAAAATAATCGAGATAGACCCATGGTTCCTTTTGAGAATATGCATAGAATCACTTTCTGAGTCGATTTATGCATGTCCGTCTGTCTGTCCGTCCGTCCGTCCATGTATTTTTGTTAACAAAGTACAGGTCGCATTTATGATCCGATTTGGATGAAATTTGGCACAGGTCACTTAATTGGCCCAAGGACGAACCCTATTGAAATTGGAGAAAATCGGTCCACGTTTAGGCATAGCTCCCATATAAGGGTACCCCCAAATTTTCGGTATTTTGAGGTTCTTGAGCGCGTTTTGTAACTGAATTCGCTGAAATTTGGTACTTTGAGTTCTTATTGTGTAGCAAATCTCTCTACCAAAAATTATAAATAAAGGTCCATTTTTTCGGATAGCCCCCATATAAGATTACCCCCAATTTTCGGTATTTTGGGGGTTTTGATCGCATTTTCCGACCGAATTCGCTGAAATTTGGTACTTTGTGTTCTTATTGGGTAGCAAATCTCCCTACCAAAAATTATAAATAACGGTCCATTTTTTCGCATAGCCCCCATATAAGGGTACCCACAAATTTTCGGTATTTTGAGGTTCTTGAGCGCGTTTTTTAACTGAATTCGCTGAAATTTTGTACATTAAGTTCTTATTGGGTAGCAAATCTCCCTACCAAAAATTATAAATAAAGGTCCATTTTTTCGGATAGCCCCCATATAAGATTACCCCCAATTTTCGGTATTTTGGGGGTTTTGATCGCATTTTTCGACCGAATTCAATGAAATTTGGTACTTTGTGTTCTTATTGGGTAGCAAATCTCCCTACCAAACATTATAAATAAAGGTCCATTTTTTCGGAAAGCCCCCATATTAGGGCACCCCCCCAGGTTTTGAGGTTCTTGAACCAAATTCTTTTTTCTGGTACAGGGTATTATGTTTTTGTGCATATGTTTGTAACATGCAAAAATAATCGAGATAGACCCATGGCTCCTTTTGAGAATATGCATAGAATCACTTTTTGAGTCGATTTAAGCACGAAATTTGGCACAGCGTATCAAATTAGGTCTAGAATGATGTGTGTAAAGTTGCCTGAAAATCGGTTCAGATTTATATATAGCTCCCACATATACTTTCGTCAGATTTAATGTAAATGGTGCATCAAAGTCCCTATATATTTTTCGATTTGCACGAAATTTGGCACAGCGTAACAAATTAGGACTAGAATGATGTGTGTTAAGTTTCCTGAAATCGGTTCAGATTTAGATATAGCTTATATATCTGACCAAATGAACAATTTAGTATCGGTTGCAGAATGACGTGTTTATGGTTCCAATTTCATCTGTTGAATATACTCAAAGTGGTGAAGGGTATCATATAGTCGGCCCCGTCCGACTTTACTACTTTCCTTACTGGTTCTACATTTAGAAAAGGCTAGCCAAATATATGAAATGTACCAGGTATCTCTTCAATAATGAGATAGAATTGAAGTGGTATCTGGTAGAGAAT